ATTAGATTAAATGAATACTGTTAATTATCTACTACCTTCTTTACACAAAACAATATGTTTCCATAAATTAAAATGTTCATACAAGAAGGAAATTGTTGTTCTCTACAATACATGCATAGAGTGCTGGATTGTGAATACTGTGACTGTATCAAAGAGGAGCACAGCTCTTTGTCTGCAGCCCTTATTTTACAGGAGCTGAATCAAATTACATCTGAAAAATCCACAGACATCACACTATTTTAAAGCATATATGTAGGTGCAAGGAGGTGATATTACTAAATGTTACAGTGCTCATGAAACAGATACACTTCTCTCTTTAACAGATGTTCTCTATAAAATTCTCTTAGAGAGATTAAATACAGCTTTGTTTGTGTACCTACAGTCACACCCTCAAGGACTATGTTATGTACAGAGAACAAAACTGCTTTTTCTAGCAGAGTGTACTTCTCCTTTCAGAAAATTATTAAAAGTCCATTCTGTAGGAAGCATTTTCAATTAACAGCTTGGTTTCTGGGCCTGTGTAATTTCCAGCTAGTGTGGACTGAAAATCTCCTCTGCCTGTTCTCCAGCATTACTAGATTCAAGCAAAAGTTCCTGACTGATCAATTCAGTCCCATCCTGGCATGCCTGGTTTGGAAGTGCAGATTTTCAAATGGTGGTACATCACCTCTAGGGTAACATAGCTGAAGCAGAAAGTACTCTTTTTGATTTGACAAAGTGTATCCCAATGTCCCTATTTCCATCAGAATAGATGTTAATAACTTCAGGCCTGAACATGCGATCCTCGCTCACCAAAAAATTACAATTAACTTTAGCAGAAGCCCTCATTCCGGCCTGCAATATACTCCGCATATAAATGGGATCTGTACCCAGGATTGCTCTTGTGTTCCATTAAGGTCAAACCCTGAAAAGCTTTTGAATACTCAGTGTTCCTACAAGGCATCACATTTTATTGTGGTTTGTGCTGTGTATCTTTTCCTTTAAATGTTCATTAGCTCCGTGTATAGAAGTGTTCATTAAATTATCATTGTGCTGGTAGTAATCTTAATATTGAGGAGTGAAGAGAGCTGTGTTGCAATATAAATGCTGTCCCGTTTCCTGCTCTCAGGGTGTAACAGGAGAAAGAAAGACCATCTTGATAGGCACTATCTGCTGAAGGAAAACTTTCACAGGAGCTGTGAACCGACTTTAACCTTTTAGTGGCTGCACTGTGAAGAAAATGTTTCAAGCTTCTTACCCAGAATTAGGCTTCTTTAATTTAAAACATTCATGAATGCTAGTGCCCCTTATAATTACTGCTACAAATATCAGAAAACAGTTACAGAGGAACAAAGAAATGCAACTGGAAACATGGTTCAGTGGTCTTGTACTTCCCTGAAAAGCTGATTATACTTTTGGCTGATTCAGTTTCTTTCAGAGGGAATTTACCCTTTCAGGCAGTTTGAGTCTGGTTGCACCAACGGCACAAAATGTATCTGGGGATGAGGAAATTGGCTCGGGGTCCTGTGTGCATCAAACTAAAATTTGCCACCGAGCTCTAGATTTTGTCTTTTAGCCCCTGAGTGCCCCTTGTTTTGTCAGATTCAGAAGCCATTTTAACACTAGTTTAAAAATAGAGCCATTTCATTTATGCTTTTGCAGGTGCCTTGCCCAATTCCCTGCTTTCCCTGCATGACTTATCTTGTAGGATAAGCACTAATCAAAGGTCAAGGTTATTCTGAAGTATCCAACATAGTTCTCTTTCTCGTAGATCCTTAAGCTGAACTTCACACAATTACAACTGATACTGTGCTGAAAGGTAATTCAAACAGGGAAAAAGTACAAAATGACAAGCAGGAACCTTTGGCACTGTAAAATGTCCCTGGTGATTTGTACTTAGTGCTTCTTCAAAACGCAGAAGCCATTTTACCACTCAGAGCCATGGCAGAAGTGTATTTTTATTTTTTTCTGAGTGGGGCTCTGTAGATTAGGGCTGCAGAGCCAGGCTTGGCACATCTGGCTCTCAGAAATGTGCCATGTACTTTACATCCGAAGATAATTTTCTCGCCTCTGTGACACAGAAGCCAAGAAGCGTGGATTTTTCCTCCCCCCCTCTCTCGCCTGTCTGATTTTAAAATGTAACACAAGGTCATGAAAAGCTCCGGCTGGGAGATACACCTTGCTAACCATTTTTTTAAGGAAACCTGGAGAAAAATCTGCTTGGGTTTGCCTTCTACGTGAGCTGAGGTGGGAGAAGATGCTTCTGCATCCCTGGAAGGGGCTGGAGGAGGAGAGCCCGGCGCAGCAGCGGGAGCCCCGGCGCCGCCGCCGCCCGGCAGCGGCCACAAAGATGTGTTAGAAACATCCCCCCGGCAAGACGTGGGTCCCTTCTCTGTACTCACTGCGGCTGCGAAAGCACCGGAGTTTCGCTGAGGAGACTCCAGTCCCGGCTGCGAGGAAGGGAAGGGAGGGAAAAAGAGAAAAGGAAAGAGAAAAAAAAAAATGGAAGGAGAGGATAGAGGGAAAAAAAAAAAAAAAAGGGGCGCAGTGCAAGTTGCGGCGGCGGCGGGAGAGGCGGCGGGGGCGGCCGGGGTGTCCGAGCCCCGGGGCCGCTCAGCTCTGCCCGGCCCGCGGCCGCCCCGGGCCTGTCGGCGGGGGCCGGGGCGCAGCGAAGCGGCGGCGGAGCCCGCGGAGGAAACTAAATAAATAAAATCAGACTGTTATTTAAGGCGCGTAAATTTAAAATTATTTGGACAGGAAGAGCAAGGGGAGCGGAGCCGCAGGAGCCAAAGTAACGGTTTCGGAGCCGGGCGCGGCCCCCCCGCCCCGCGGCCCCGCGCCCCGGCGCTCCCCGGGGGCCGCCCGACCTGCCCGCACCTCGGCCGGCGCGACCCTCCCTCCTCCCCGGGGACCCCGGCAGAGCCCTCCGGGAGCACCGACATTTTGAGTGCCCGTGTGGTGGGGTAGGCTGTGCTGAGAGCCGGTGAGAAATCTTTCTTTCTCTCTCTCTCTCTCCTTCTTTCTCCTGTTCTTTTCTTTTCTTTTTTTTTTTTTTTTTTTCTTCCCCACCCCCCCGCCGCCATGCACAGGATAACAGTCCCCACGGATAAATGCAAAAGCTTTCCTCTCCTCGCTTTTTCGAGGGAATTTCAGCAGTTTAGTCAGGAGATAATAATGTCTGGCTGCTTCTGGCTGCCCAGTGAATTCTCAGGTACATTTGTGGAAGAAATCCTTTTCTTTCTTTTAGAAGATGAAAAGTGGTAGTTTTCTACTGTGTTAACTCTTTCTTCATGTGAACAATGCCATGGCATTTCCTAGGGAGCTAATATCTTACCCCAACATGGAAAAAAACATCGATTCCATTCCTCTCCCCACACTGTAAGCTGGAAAGAAAGTATTTTCCTGTACTTAAATGTGCAGTGGCTTATTGCACTGGAGACAGAGCAGAATTCACCTTCAAATACCTTCTCATTCACTCTCCCCCCGGCTTAGGGCAGGGCAGGCTTAGCCCTGCACCTCTGCCCCTCTCTCCCCAGCACCCACAGATCGGGTATTTCACCCTCTCACGGTGCTGCTGCCACATATGAAACTCCCTTCGTTCCCTGTGGGATCCCTTTAGGATCTGCCCCTTTCCAAAAGGAGTTCAGCAGCCCCCGCCGTTGTTCCGAGGATAATTTAGAAACAAAGGTCAAGTGTAACAGCTTTGCTCATCCGTGTAACTGAAATAGGGGAGAGGGCTGTTGCCCCACAGTTGTGTCCTCACACAGCCTGGTCACTGTGAATCCTGGTACAGCTACATTTTATGCTCTATTTCTTCACATTTTTCTGTGCTTGCTGTATTTGTTTCTATTTATACCTCTCATCTCGATGCTGCACTGTTTGCTGCCGATTCCTGGGCTGCTGCAGGGCGATCTCTGCTCCTGCCTGGAGACTTACTTGGCAGTTGGTTTATGTCTCAATAAAAGCTCTCAAAAATCTTTAATTTCATCTCATACGCTGCACTTTTGCATCTCTGGGTAAATATGGTTGTCGACATTTTCAGGAATATGCGAGTTTTTGAAAGTGGACTTTTTGATGTTGACAAAATAATGGGGGAAAAGTGCCAAAGCAATTTCTGAAACCACATGCAATATTACAATCCTTTTTAGGTGTCAAGATTCTCTATTAATGAGACTTGCTTTATATTATTTTCTCCTCTCTCAGTAAATATAAAGACTTCTGGAGGAAAGCCATTCTCCAGCAACCAGGCACCTTTTGTCACTGACAAACCCTGTAAGGTGCGTGTAACCCACCAGCTGACTGATTTCTTTGGTTTCCTAGAGGCTCTTTGTAGTAACTGTTAAGCTTCTGGGATAATAGAGAGCAATTCTTGCTTTTCAAGTATTTAACTAGGAATTTCAATTGATCATCTTGTTTCCGATAAGTTAAAGAGATCACAGAGAAAACGCAGCAGTGAAATCAGATAAAACACATCTTTAAACCAGACTATCGCCGGTGACTCAGCCGCCCAGGCTTTGGGCATGGCCAGGGGGTGATTAGTCCTGACTTTAACCCTGAACTCCTGGCACGCAATAAAAGCCGCTATTTCTGACTAGGCGGGGCATTTTTCTCGGAAGAGAAATTGTTCTATTAAGCGAGTGCTAAAACTTCACCTTGGCGTAAATTAAATGCTGATGAAGCTCCAAATGGGTTTGGAATTAAGTTTTTTAGTAGCGCAGGTAAAAGAAACAAACGAATGTGAGAAAGCTGGATATTACCTCCTCGTGTAGCAGAGAATTCCTCTTTGTGAGAGGAATGGAGAAGGAAAAGGCTTGGAGCATCCTCCAGGACATGAGGAAAGGAAGATGGAGAGCAACACAGAGCGATTTGGGTCACTTCACCTCGGGGAACCTATGGATTACGTTGCTCAGTTTAATATTTCAGGCGGTTTAGTGCTCTTTCTACGGGGAATTTTGGGGTTTACTTCCCCAATAATGCTTCCTATGTGCTGTGCTGCTCCGATTAATGATCATGCGCACAAATTTTCATATTTCACAGAGGTTTTTAATCAGAACACAGCAGTATGACAGAGCTTATAGTAAATGTGACAGACAGTTTCAGCAAATTATTTTTTACTTGAAAATGTAGTAACTGTTTTTGTGGGGCTAATTTAAAAAAAAGTTAAAAACTAAACTAATGTATTTCCTCTCCTCTTTTAAGTGCTATTTAAAGTAGCATTCATTTTGCATTGATTTAAAACCTTCTATTTTGCACGGCTGAAATTCAGACTATTCAAAATGAAGCACTTTAAACTGCCCATCTTCCCAACAAGTAGATCCTGTACGAATGTTAAAAGTTTCATAATAGGCTCTTCCCGACACGGTGCTGAGCATCGTTAGCTCCTGTTGAGGCTGGAGAGGCAAATGAGTTTCAGTCTGGTGAATACTCTCAACTGTGTTGCAATAGAAAATTTCCAATGGTTAAATTGTGTTTTAGGTGCAAGCAAAAACTTCACAAATATCAAAAGTGCTGCTACCTAAATTACACTGTATTCAAATATTCTTGTTTTGTGAGATGCTGTCCTTAAAATAGTTTATTTCCAGACTAAAAAGAATAGTTGGTGGAAAGCAAATATTACTCAGAGAACATCTAAACTGCAACCAGCAGATGAAGTGACCAGAAGTCTTGTATTGCAGCCTTCGTGTCCTCTTGCCTTTGACAATGGTTCTCTGCTGCTTGTTTTGAAACTAGAAAAAAAGTCTTCTGCAGTGCACAGTAAACACGAACTACTAAACTGAGCTGTTTAAAACCTCTGGCAATCGAAGAAACACCACTTATACTGTTTCTGGTAACTAAATTCAAAACCAGATCGGTGAAAGTTTAAATACACAAAGAGGAAAAGTGTCATCTACATTTAGAAAGTAAGTGTCCTAGTTCTACAAGCTCTCGTTAGTGACAAAATACAGTTACTGCCTAAAGCATCTAAGCGCCATCCACTGTCCTCAGGCCACGCAGCCTTTGACTTCCAGCTCTGCCTGTGCAGGGGCTGCAGGTGACCCCTTTTTAAAAGGATGTTTTTATCTAAAACAGGACCTCAGACTCTTGAGCCTGAGCAAAAGCGGTAGGGGGAGTGAGGAGAAGGGAGGGGTGCACTGAGAGGTGGGAGAAATCACAGTAAAGTATTTCCTTTCCTTAAAAGTCCAGCAATATTAAACATGTGAATAGTAGCTCTTGTATTAATGACTTGATATGAACGACCTAAAATAAACTGTAAAAGTTGATACTGGAAAACTAGATATGAGCAACCAACATAGACACGGATGAGCCTGGGAGTACTGTGAAAAGTGAAAGGTATAGGAAACTGCTGGGAGCATGGATTTAAAACATTTCTGTTATCTAAAAACCCACCTCTGGAATTTTCTGAGACTTACACTACCAGATGTTCAGAAGGAAAAAAAAAAAGTAATGTAGCAACAAATGTTGTTAAAAAGGAGGGAAACACCCCGATAAGTCTGCACACCCTCAGGTCCAAAGGAGAGCCCGTCCTAGCGGGGTTCAGTCCATGCTGGGGGGGAAGGAGCTGCTGGCCTCCAGGAGCTCCACCACGGCCGCCCTCCTGTAGAGCCTGGCCAGGTCGTAGGCGGTGGCCCCCCGCTTGTTCTGGTGGCCCACCTTGCACTCGGAGCGCGCCAGCAGCAGCTCCACCACCCGCACATGCCCCTCCTGGGCCGCCAAGTGCAAGGGCAGGTTGCCGTCGTTGTCCTCAATGTTAACATCGGCTTTGAACTCCAGCAGAGTCTGCAAAGTGTCCAGAAACCCCTCCCTGGCTACGTCGTGGATGACAGCGAAGCCGGTACTGTCTTTCAGGTTGGGGTTCGCCCCGTTACTGAGCAGCCGCCGGGCGATTTCGGGGTTGCCGAGTTTCATCACCTATGAAAGAGAGAGGAGAATTGGATACCGCGGGTGGGGGTTTGCTGCAGCACTGCCTCCCGTCCTCACTTCTCATCCCTGGCTTTTGTCACAGGCCAATTCTCATTTACAGCAGACGGAGGAGACTCGCTATAAAACTAATGACACACCAGAACATCTAGTTTTTAATATATTTGTTACTGAACTCGGTGAAATTCTGAAAGATGTTATCACTTCGGTGGTCACAGCTTTCTGCCTCGGAGAGATTGATGCCTGAAACAGCATAGAAGGGGATACAACAACTTTTTTTTTTTCCTCACGAGGATCATCTCAGCTTTTTAATACATAAAAATTAAGCATAGTTCGGTTTTATTTGCCTAAGTATTGAGACACCTCTGCATTACTGTTTAATCTTGTTAAGCAGCAAATATAGGGTCTCTGAGGAACAGATCTTTTACCTCAGCAACAGCAAATGTAGGATATGTTTTTACAAGCTTTCAGGTGTTTACATTGTCTGTGCATTATCATGAAACAAATATTTGGACTGTACCATAGCTCTATCTGTTGAGAAACACAAATGCTAAAAGAAATTACTCTCCCCAATATTTGTGTTTCATTAGGTCACCCAAAAAGAAAAAGTCAAAAGGAATGTTTCAAAGTTACAGAAGTTCTCTTCTAAAATCAGTATATTATATTATACTTTCATAACCTCTCTATAAGTAAACTGTGGCTATGTTCTGTCGTTAAAACATCCCTTAAAAAAAATACAACAACAACAATAATTGGATTTTCTGACTGTTTCTCTCAGGGAAAAAGAAAAAAAAAAGAAAAAGCTTCTTTCAATTTTCTCAATTGCACCATAAAACTATCATAATTAGAACACAAATCTGTCTTATTTGTAACTTAACTGCTTGCACCGATTTCCTTGTAATTCCTCATTTTTTTGTTTGCACACTTTCCAAAAATGAACACTGTAATGTATACTGTGTAATCTCTAGCCTATAGGCAGTATTTTCCTGTCTCATTGTAAGTATAAAATTTAAAAAAACACAACTATTTTCTGTTTCCTTAGAGAGACATTCACACATTGATTTGAAAATCTTGGTTAATAAAAAAAATCAGCACAAATGAGCAGTACAGTGCATTAGATTTAGCATAAGGTATAATTTCTACAGGGGTTTGCTGAAAATCTCTCCTGACAAAAAATAAATATTAAGTTTTTTTTAAGAAAAGCAAGCTCTAATAAATATATTTATGTACAGCGCTTGAAGTGTAAAGCAGCCCAGCACATTACAACCACAGACAGGAGAAAAAGTGCAGATAAGACAGGCTGGGATTCAGGGAAAGAGATCTCTGTGTGCCCCAAGGCTTCCAGCTCCCGACTTTCAGCCACTTCTTTCACTTCTGACAAGAGATGGAAGCGATGTAAAAGAAAACAAGATCATTGTGATCTCTCTTTGTTTAATAAAACCCAGACTTTTTGATCTCTTTTTGAGAGCTCAGTCTGTTTTATTTGTGAATTCAAAACATATATTTGGGTTAAGTGGGAGTTTTCAGTGTTCAGGCCAGGGGATTGAAGGCTTCAGTTAAAGATGCGAGGGGGAGAAAATCCTATAAAACGTGATGCTTTTTGCCCGTGGGCTACAAGTGAACAGTAAATGCCCCCTATATTTTAGAAAGTTATGTTTGGGGGTAGGGAGGCGAAGAAGGAGAAAGCATTAATTGAATAAGTCTGATGAAGAGCATAAGTGCAGGAGATGTATTTGAGGCCTGCATAGGTACACTTCAGAAGAAATAAAAATGACAGAGCAAGACAAGCCAAGCAATTGTTTAATTAAACATAAATGCAGAGGAAAAATATAAATTCATTGACATTAATATAGGAGCATTCTCTCCGTTGTAATTGAGAGAGAGATTACAGAGAGATTATCTCAGTCTTGCAGAGTGCACTGACAGAGAAGTCTTTCGAGCGTGGCCAGGCACCCACAGCACATTTCAGGATGATACATATTGAAAATCAGTCGACAGATTCTCCTGTTTTGATTTTTGTTGTGGTTCATTAGCTCAGTTGTTATTAGGCACTCCTAAGAAGTATCGTTAGGGCACAGATGCATGTTTAATATAGCTGGATGCTATGTCATTGTGTAAAATATACCTTAATTCAGAATATAGACAGTTAGCTGCTTTTAGAAAAAAATATCCAGTATTCCTGTAGGACAAATCGGTTTTCAGCCCTTGTCCCGAGGATAAATCAAGTAGCGAAATGTTTTCTACTTTCTTAAAGAATTTAGCTTGTCTAAGGTCTTAATTTAAACCCTTTCACTCTCTTAAAAGTTGCTGCAAGTGCCTGCACTGCCATGCGATGCCCTATTTAGGTACTAACAGGACAGCGAGGAGCTCACAGATCTCCAGCTTCAGCGAAATTATCAAAAAAAGGTCATTCCTGAATTATCAGCAAGAGGTGCTTATTTTCCAGCTCTAACATTTTGATGTTAAGCCAAAAAGCTGTAAATATCTTGCATACACTCACAGGTTTTATGCTGTTAAAAATGCACTTTCAGAAATTATTACCACAGTTTAGGGGGAAGGGGTAAGAGGGGTTAAAAAACGATTTTACTGATGTGTGAAATGAAAAAGACCTATAGGTCCACTTCCACACTGCATTACTTATAACAAGTACAAATAACCACACTTATTTTCCCTCTGGATTTATAAATCCCATCTTTCACTATTTGGTAGGTATTCTAGCATTTTTGCCATCATTATCTGATAATATTAAAAGCAAAATCTTTCATCAGCTCCAATAGTTAGCAGCTGGACAAGTTCCAACTCCTGCCTGCACAACTACACAGTTAAAAATTAGGACACAACACCCTATACGATCAGAAAGGAAATAACTGGAAGCAGTGCCCTGCTAGCCGATCTGGAAAAAGCAAATTTTAAAGTCTTAAATATGAATGAAAAAGCAAGTGATTCAGCTGGAACCCTGGCTCGCAGGGCTAGCTCTTAATGTACATCGGAGGTCCTCGGTTCTGAGCAGCATGCTTCCCAATGAGAAAGGTCATTCCCACAAACAGAGTATAAAGGAAAAGTACCATCCACAGCACACCCCAGAACCCAGACGAGCCACTCTTAAAAAGCACATTGCAGGGAAAAAAAAAAAAAAAAAAAAAAAAGGAAGACAAAAAAGATATAAATCCTAAGCTTCAGAGAACAGAACATTTGTGTTTACAGACCTGCTATGAAATCCAGCTCACCTAAGCTGATTTCTTTTCATCTCAGCTCTCTCATTCCTTGCCTCCTCCCCACGAAGTTACAAAATATTAGCAAACTCGTAGCCCGTTTGACATTGAGGGTGATCCCCGATTGAAAGAATGGTTTTGACCATTTTTATTTCAAGTACGTCATTTTAGGGAGTTGGAGCCACTAAACTTAAAATATGGCATCCAACGAGTTTGAAAAACCACTCGAATTTCATCCACCAGCCTGCTTAAAACGTTGTCTTTTTTGGAAACCCGGGTCACGTAGGTACCAGTGATGAAATATTTTCTCCCTCTCTGGATACCAACCTGCAGCGCAGTCCTCCCAAATCCATTTTGTGCATTGACGTTTACATTCTTTTGCAACAAATTAGTAAGTTGCACTAGGTCCCCCTTGGCAGCCGCGGACGCCAGCTCGTTCCCAGAAGGCTCGGCCATTCTTTAGGGTGACTGACGATCGGAAAAAAGATGAGATTTTTTTTTTTTTTTTTTTTAACCAGGCATGGCATCGGAGACTGACAGAAGGATTGGGATGGTTAATCTTCTGGAGTAAGACCTTGTAGTAAATACTCGTAAAAAACCTCCTTGCCAAGAGCCCGCCCCTAACTCACACGTGATTATTCAGCAAAACTGCAGCTCCACTTGAAGGAAGATTTCTTTGCTTCCACATATAGAGTAACTCTTATTATAATAAGACTTTGGCCACTTTCGCGGGGGGGAAATAGATTAGCAGCTACGCAATATATTGTATATGTTATAGGTAACATATATACACGTACACCGGAGACTCACTCAGACCTGAGATCTTGGAAGGAGAAGACAACCCACCCTGTTCACAGTCGGTTTCTGAAACTTAGCAGCAACAGCAGCTCCGAGGAAAGGTCTCCTGTAGCAGTGTGCATCCAACTCCCGCTCGGGATCCCCCCCTTCATCCCACACCGTCGCCTTAGTCCGGGCCCAGCAGGGAAGGGAAGGACGAGCCGCGCCCGCGGAGGGCCGGGCGCGGCGGCGGCGGCTGTGCAGGAGCCCAGCTCGCTCCCTCGGCGCTCTCGCTCCCCGCAGCAGCAGCAGCAGCAGCAGCAGCTTCACTCCCGCGGCCCCGCGCAGCCTCCGCGCAGCGGGCGGGCGCGATCCCGGCTGGCGGCCGCCCCCGGCGGCGGCGGCTCCGGAGCATCCAGGAGGGCGGCGGGCGGCGCGGGGGGGGCTGCCCGAACCGCCGCCCGGGCTCAGGGCGTGCAGGAGCCGCGGCGCGGAGCCGTCTCCGCCGCCGTCCGCCGGGGTTCCTCCTCCGCCGGGGTCCTGCCGCCGCTGTCCGCGCTCCGCCGGGCGCTCCCCGGGACAGCCGCTCCTCCTCCTCCTCCTCCTCCCGCCGCGGCCGCGGGGCGCGCTCCTGGCGGGGGCAGGGGCTGCGCGGGTGCCGCCGCTGCCCCGGCCCGGCCGCGCTCGCAGCCGCACTGACAGCCCAGCTCGCCTCCTCTTCCAACTTCGCGAAATAAAGCTGCACTTGCCGGTCCGAGGCTGCCGCCTTCGCCCGCGGCTCTGCGCTCCCCCTTTTTTAAGCACAAACAATCGCTACTTCTGTTTCCTAAGGACACGAAGCCGGTTTCTCTCTCCTTTTTTTTCCCCCCCCTTCTTTTTTTTTTTTTTTTTTTTTTTTTTTAACCTCATCAGCTTTTTTTGAAAAGAAAAAAAATTTGAGCGCTTTTTGAGTTGAAACACCCGCCCACATTTTAACGGCAGAGATTTAAGGAGGCGCGGTGGAGTTCGGGCAGGAAGGCCTGCAGCGGCTCCCGCCCGCCCCTCGCCCGGCCCCGCCGCCGCCGCAGCTCCGCGGCGCCCGGTGCCGTCCCCTCTCCGCGCAGCCCGGGCACGGCACTGCTCCGCCGCAGCCAGCACAGCCCGGCTGCTTTTAGGAGCAGCGCTGCTGAGGCCTAGACTGGGGGAGAAATGAAAGGGAAAGGAGGTTGTAGCAGCGGGAGCCGCCGCACCCCGGCGGGAGGAGCGGGATCGGGGGGAGCTCGGCAGGCGGGAGGGCGGCCTCTGCCACGGTGCTGCCCGGAGCTGCTCCCCGGCGGTCTCCACCTGCCCGCGGGGGGAGCGGAGCCGGCTCCGGTCCCGGTCCTGGCCCCTTCGCCCTCGCTCGGCGCCCCGCGGGCAGCGGCTCCGCGCTCGGGGCCACCCCGGCAGCGGCGCGGGTTCCTCTCTCATCCTGAGGACAAGGTCAAGGATGAAGGGTCAATGTCAAGTTGTCTTAACGGTGGAAGGCGACCGTCCACGACAGCGCTCCCTGCTTCCCGCGTTTCTGGTGTCCTTGATTGATTTGAAAGTGCCATTTTGAAAGGGAACCGCGCCCGGGCACCAAGAAGACGCCAGGACTCCGCTTTTCCTTCCCAGGGCGAAGACGTGAGGATGGTACAGGACGGGGATGTCACCGCCACCCTGCCTAACAGTATTTAGTGTCTTAAAGTGCTTTAATGGCTGGATTGCTTTAGGTTTCAGGGACCCTCGGAGGACTGAATTCTGCCAAGTGAACCCTCCGAGAGGTAAGCAGCAATGTCATGGCTCCCTGATAAGCACACGTAACCCATCGCTCGCAGGGGCAATCTGCACGTCTGTTTTCTGCGTGGACGCCACGGGAAAGTGATTTTGAATGTAAACAGGCGTGAGGCAGCTCGGGGAGGTGCGTTAGGGAGGGAACCTGCGGTGGTTACAGCTCCGGCACTGCCCTGCGGGGGGAACCTGCGCTGGCAGCCGGGCAGGGGCCGGAGGTGGCCGGGGCCTGAGTCGGGGCCGCCGCCGTCAAACACAGCCGGTTCTACAGCAGTGAATCTGCTGCTGAACGAAGCCAGGCTGCTGTATCTGGCTTGCCTCTCAGCTTCGGTTGCTTTTTGCTTTGCAATTGTATTTTCCTGTACTGATTCCCCCATCCACGCTTGTTTGTGAATATTGCAAAGGTGACAAGTGTGAGCTGCCTACACATGAAGCAGGGAAAACAACTTTGTTCAGTTTATCGACTGACGCCCCACTCCCATTCCCACTAAAGGAGAGAAAAAGCACGTGTATTTTTAAGGGCCTCACTGTGGTAATTATCGTCCAGAAGCAATAGTGCTTTTTTTTTTCCCTCATTTTTTCAATTTTTAAAAGGAAAAATAGAAATTATAACTTCCCTCAAAGTTAGCTCTGGAAATATATGCATGCAAGTAGCATCTGTTTATTTAAATACAGTTGCTTTTCTGCATAAAAAGGGAATTTATATGTAAAACTTGGATTATTCAGTCAGATGGCTTATAAATTACTTATTTTGTGACTAATTACTTGCCTAAAATCCACAGGCTTTGGTGGTGTTACCTGTTGTTAACCTAGTGCAGAATTAAACCTGCAAATATTACAACAATCTCACACTATTTTTTGTTGGTTTACAGTTAGAATAAACCTTCCATCTTCTGTTAATCACACCACATAGCAAAAATAATTAAAGTGTAGCTGGAGTGCTGCAGGCCTTCTGCAAGTAAAGCTGCATGGCCAGAAAATGCTGTCAAATTTCCTCTACTGTGCAGGTCTGTCAAAAGTCTTGGCAGAAAGCAATTTGTTAATCCTGATCATTTCCTCTCATGAGTGATAAAGATTCTCCATCTAAAACACAGAGATTTTTCCCAATCGGTTCCAGAATCAGCAGGAAAAAAAAAAACAAAAAAAAAACCAACCAAAAACCGACCAACTTCTGGAGGGAGATATTATCATCGGGCATTATAAGAAGTAAAATAATCGGCTCCCTAATTCGTCTCTCACTCTTTGGAGGATAAAACCCACCTCGAATGGCTCAGAGAGGCTGTGAGAAGGCAAACAGAAACTTTAGCTGTGACTTGAATGTGAACTTCCTGCGATGTGGGGCACGTGCAGCTTTTCACCTTTTCTTCATGTTCTGGATCAAATCCTTCCTGTTTTGATCTAATATAGATATCGTTATCTAAAATATGACTGTAATAGACATGAACGCTGTGTAACTAACCTTGACAACATACCTATAGCTTCAGTTCGTGCCAGGAATTAATTGGCTTTAATCCAATTGCTAAAACTCGCTTTTCAGCCTTTATTATAGTTACTCTCTAGTAATGTGTGGGTGGATTTGTTTGTAATTTAGCATAGGCTGTCCCTGGCATTGCACCATACCTTGTACTTAGTACAGAACTGTCTGTAACATCAAACTGGGAAAAAAAAAGGGTGCAGGTGTGAGGGCAATTAATTTATCATCCCTCCGGTCGGTAGTGGGGAGCTCGCATTGTTAAGCTCACGTCAGCGGGCAATAAAAAACCTCTCGCAAGCCCTGCCAACATAAACTGGAGCAGGAATGGGATAAAATGTAAAACCCAATTTCTCTGACACTGTGGCTTTGCATCTTAAGTTGCGTTTCCGTGTGGCCTCAGCCCGCCCGGAGAGCTGCCGCCACCAGACACCCAGCCCAGGTGCCCTGGAGCCCGCGCTCGCCAGCAGCGTCCGCAACAGGCTCTAAACAATTCCCAGGCTTTCTCTTGGGATCACGGACCCTCCTGGAGGTACAGCCGAGCTTTCCCTGCGCCCCTCTCCACACGCAGCCTTTGGCCGCGGTTGCCCCGGGCTCCCCCGCAGCTCGCCCCGGGGCCAGCGGCCGCGGAGTCCGCGAAACCCGCCTGTAACCTTCGCGGGTGGAAGAGAGAAACAATAAAGAACGCTGCTTCCTAAATCCGGTAAAATATCTTGATTCAAAGGTATCAGAATGTAGCGTTATTAGCTGAGAGGAAAGCTGCTTGATGCATCTGTGACCTCAGCTACGACACTCACAGGACACTCCTACAAAAAGCGGAGCAAAACATGCTGGACTAATCAGCAAAGTTGGCGTGCAAATGTGTGTTTTATGTCGGTGCTAAAGGCGTACATCAGGTTGCAGAAGGCAAACTTAGAAAGCATCAGTTACAGTTAGATTTGCATCACTTAAAGCAGATTTATTTGCGGTATATAATAGAATTGCATCTTACAGTGCTGGAGTAGTAAGCCTGAGCGACGGCCGCTGTGCAGATCACGGTGTGTTGGCTCAGAAAAACCTGTGAAAAATGCATCTCCTTCTTTTGAGCCAAGTCGGAACCTGGGGGAAAAGTCGTGGCTGCCCCGAGCGCTGCGTGCCCGGCCGGGGGTGCGGGGCACCGGGCGGGCACCGTGTCACGGGGGGCGGAGGGGACGCGAACCGCGCCGGGATCGAGCCGCTGCTTTCACCGAAACCAGCGCGGCCCCGGGGCGCGGCTGGACGGAGAGGGGGAAAGGAGCAGGGACGGGAGGAAGGAGGGATGGATGGATGGATGGATGGATGGATGGATGGATGGATGGATGGATGGATGGATGGCTGCCCCGCTCCCGCACAGAGAGGCAGGGCCGCGCTCCGCCCGGCAGCTGCACCGGCCCGCGTTTCCCTGCACCGCCCGGCTGCAGCCAGGTCCCCGCAGCCCCGTTAGGCCGCAGCCGGCGGCGGAGCGCAGCCGGGACACCCCGCGCCGCCGCCGGGCCCGGGCAGCCGCCAAGCCCCGGCACGGGACGTGCGGATGTGTCCAGCCCCGCGGCCCCGCTGCGGCGGCTCCGGCCGGGCAGGCCGCGGGCCGCGACTCCTCGCTCCGCTCCGGTGCCGCCCGGGCGCGGGGTCCGCGGTGCCGGCTCGGCGCGGTCCCGCCCCCGGCTCCGGGAGCGCTTGACAGGCGGGCAGTCACGTGTCGGCCGCAAAGCGCCTCTTTGCGACCTCAATGACAGGCAAAATGTGCGACACAGGCGCTGTGGAGGCAGGCGGGGAGCGGCGCTGCCTCCTCCTCCTCCTCCTCCTTCTTCTCCTCCTCCTCCTCCTCCTTCCCGGGCCAGCGGCTGAGCCAGCGCTGCCCGCTCCCGGCCCCGCGCCCGGCCCGCCGCTCTCCTGCCTCCTCCCCTCCTTGGGCCCGGGAGGGGCAGCCCGGGGGCGCCGCGGGAGCCCGAGCGCAGCGCGGCGCCTCCATGAGCTCCTGAGCTCCCACCCTGCCCCGTCCTCCCCGCGGCAGCGGCTCCAGGTGCGCGGGTCCGAGCAGAGCCGGGACGCAGCTGGCTGCAATGGCGTCCAACATGGACCGAGAAATGATATTGGCTGATTTCCAGGTAAATTTCAAGCCGCCGCCACACTGCCGTGGCCTCTCGTTGCTTTTCTCTTTCTCCTCGTTGCTGTGCTGCTTGTTCTTTGTGGGGAGGTCCGGGGTGGTGGATGTGAAGCCCACCCTCTGAAGCCTCGGCTCTCCTTTCCTTCTTTTATATTTGTCAGAAATGGGGAGTGTGTGCCCTCTTTTCTCAAGATGCGTGAACAAAATGTCTTCTTTAACTTACAGTTTCAGTTTTAAATTAATAATAAAAAAAGCTTTTTCATCCACTTTGCTTGTTCCTACCCTCTGCAACCACCCAGGCCCTGGGACAGCTGTGAGGCAGCTCACTTGGAAGAGGCAAATGCCAGGGAGGATCCAAAACTCACCAGTCCACATGATTTGTCACAGTGTTTGTAGTGAATCACTTGCTGGTACTGCAGATTAGTGCTGAACAGAGGTGTTTCCATTCCAGCATCAACACTAAACTCCATGATTGCCTCAGCCTGTGACTGCTGTGATGACAGTAAAACTCTTCCCACCCTATTCCAGACAACAGCGTGTTTGTGTACAAGGGAGGAATATGCTCTTCAAAGTTCTTTGTTACCTTTCCTTCTCTCTACAAAAAGGTTGTAATTTAACTTTAGGCTTCTAAATCTTATCCCCAGAATAAAGTCTTTCTGTAAGTAAAAGTGATGTCTCTAGGAGCGTATATTGCTTCTTAATAATTCTTGGTTTTATATTGCTTTTCTTAGACCAAGTAAAAAAGTGGAGGATACCTGCATTTGAAATAGTGAGGGGAGCCAAACACATCTGGGAAGGGAATCAGATAATATTTGAATATACTTTTTTTAATATTTGCTTTTCAGTCTATCAGATTTTTTTTAAGCTCTGTCCATTTGCAGTGGTTGTCCTAACATGGATAGGCACCTAGATATTCTTGGATTGATTTGTAAAACTGCCACCTGTATGTTCAGCTTCTTAAAAGACTGTTTTCCAGCTGTCAGCAGTGAAACTATTTCATTTAGTTAAAATGAAAAAATAGTAATCCTTCCAATTCACTTTGTGTGTGTGTTTGTTTGGAGCTACAGGTAGCGTGATTGTAGTGTGCACAGTAATTCCTGTGTATTATGTAATTGAGCAATTCCTCTGTTGCAAAAGGTACCTGGTATCTCACTGATGTAACTCATGGAGTTCCCAGCTGATAACAGGGAACTGTCATCCCCTTCTGTACCCCAGTATCTTACACCCTTGTTCATTAAAATGCTTACCAAATGTTACTATATTGATACTACTTTGTTGTGCTTGGAGATACTTTTTTGTATATAAGGAATGACATCCCAATTTTAGGGCTGGGATTTCACAAAGGAGTTTTTCCAGGAATGGCACACTGTGTGAAAGGAAACTGAGATCCCAACTCTGCATTTGTACCAGTGGGAGCAGAGTCTTACAGAAGAATCCCACATTATTATCTGAACTTACAATCAGGAATCCCAAATGATGAAATTAGTGGCTGGTGAATGTAAGATTATTTGTTTAATAGAATTTTCAGTACAGATTTACACTTTCCAGGTGTTTTATGCTATTTTGCAGTATTGTTGTGCTTGGCTTTTGAAACCATTAATGAAAGTAAAAGTACAACTGCAGTGTTTGTACCGTGAAGACAAGTAAGTATGATTGCAAACTTGCAGGTGGGTGGGTGATGGAGTCACAGAAACCAGTTTTAGGTCAAGGGTGGATGACATAATGTGTCTGAACCTAGGATACAGGACATATTTTATCATATACCAGTCCTTACTTAAAGAGAACCCAAACATTTTCCTCTTGTATTTCAGCAGACAGCTTTGTTTTTCTGTTTCATTATATTTCTTTTAAAGTGTCTACCTGATTTTGAAGTACTGAACTGTTAATTGTCATGCTGTTAAAGCTTCAATTAGTAAAGGACAATGTCAGTCATTATTAGGCCTTGTATCTTTAGACTTACAAAACAGTAAAGGTTTTTGGGTCTTTTAAATATTTGGTGGAATTTGCAACTCATTCACTAAGAATTTAAAATGGACAATAAAACATTATGTGTCGAAGTAATTCTGCATGATTTTCCCTTCTATATTTCCTGTACCTTTTTAATTAATAAATATGTTTCTCAGACTTCTGCTGCCATCTTCTATGTCTATGTGAGGTGTCTTGTGGAAGAATGTTGCACACAGTGAAAATTTCAAAAGCAATTCTTTGTAGTTCAGTTCAGCTAATCTTTGGTGAATTAAACTGGGAGGGAAACTTCCATCACCATTTCACCCTTATCTTTCCTAAGTTATGTTTAAGGGGGATAGAGTAGTGGTCTTTAAACTTCTCAAAATTGAAAGGGTTTTGTCACCCCATTAAAAAAATAAATGAAATCATAATTGTGCTGATGCTTGATGCTTTTGTGAAGCTTTCATGGATTTATTTGGTATCTTCCAGATTTATTAGGGATTTTGTCTAGAGCAGGAACTTGTATTGCATTTGTTTTTTTCTTTTTAGCTCTGACTCTAGTAACAGGTTACTTCTGCATTTGGAGGTACTAAATAGAATTACTTTTAAAGAAGTGTTTTGCATGTACATATATACATATACATATATATATATATATATATATACACACATATACACGAACGCATGGAATTTTATGAGATATTTTAAGTATAGAGTAAGGCACAGTGAGTGATCTACCAAAATATTTTTGTGTAATGTCTCAAAACAATTTATGCCTGTTCTGTGTGGTTTATAATTATTTTCTTTTCCTCTCCTTTTTAATGAGGCTACTGTGTGCTACTCAGGGAGCACAAAATACGTATTCATGCATGTGGGCTGTATAAGCAACCTGCCTAACTTTTCCTTCTTAGGCCCACACTTAGGAAAGATTATGCAGAAGCTTTGCTTTGAACATGAGTAGTCTGATTGTTTTCAGTGGAAGTAGCTGATGGGGAGTTCAGGACTAGAACTTGCACAAACAAGTTTTAGATTTTTTTCACTAAATGCAATTCAGAACTTCTCCACAAAGTGTCATTGGCATAAAGGAAAAACTCCACAGGAAAAAACACAACAGCTTGTGTTAGTAGCATAAATTCTTTAAAAAGGTAGCTGCATATGAATTGGTAAGAGTGATGCTGCAACATACTTCACATACTGGGGGAAATAAAGGCATATAATTTTTACCAATTTTTAAAAACCTATTGTTTGTTGTGTTTAACTGCAAAGTTTTTTTCCATCTTCGTTGGGATATCCAGGTGGTCACATGGTACAAATATACTCATGATCTCTTGCAGTTTGGGGTCTACTTTTCACTATCAAGAAAACAGATTTTTTTTTCCTTTTTAAATTGTAAAATTTAGTTGCACAGAGCTTCATTTAATTGACATAGATTGGCCTTCATTCCCAAAATTTAACTTAGAGTATTGGCAGAAGTTTCAGATATTGATATTTTTGCATTCTAGCACTTTTGCTTTTGATTTTACAGCTTCACTTAGGATTGGAAATAAAATTAGCAAGAATATATTTTTGTCTTTATAAATTATGTCCACCTAAAATTAGCAAGAATGTATTTTTGTCTTTATAAGTTATGTCCACCTAAAGGACCACTTTATTCATGCTGTGTGCTTGTCCTCACAACAGTCCTAAATGTGGAGTGGGCCTAAGGGTTGCAGTGAGTTGCCAGCTCCTGTGTGTCCATATATTACAAGAATATGTGGCACATTGGAGCTTCAGGAGGAAATTTTTCAAAGATTTCACATTTTTCATCATTGACCAAATAAATAAGTAGCTCAGGATTTGGTCAGGGTGGGAGGATTTCAGAGTAAGATGACAGGACTCAAAAATCCTTGCTTTCATTGAGACAATAGATTTCTAGTAATTTTCTTCTTCCCTCTTTCATCTATGTTCATTGTGAAACCAAGGTATGTGCCTTCTTTTCCCTTTTCCAGATTTTTAAAAAACTGGGTAATAGACTACTTTTGTGTGATTCACACACTTGTGTAAAAAACGTTTGGTGGTTTGTTTTTTTTCCCAACTTAAACATTGTGTCAATCTCTTTCATAAAAACAGGTTTGTGGGAGGAGCAAGGGGAATTGAGAAGGAAGAACCTCATTTCCATCACTTGCAGCACAGTGAGAAAGCATGCTAAATGATTGTGTTTTAAATTATAAAATTGACCATGACAGTGATACATCAGTTTATTATTTTTTGTTTTGTTTGTTTTTGAAGATTTAATTGTAATTCAATCTACTTGTTTCCTTCTGGAATGGCGAAAATTAAAGCAACTGTAGAATCTTCACCTGGAAGTTAACACAGTGCTGTTAAATAACTGACAAGATGAAGTTTTTAGTTTGGTTTGGGTTCTTTTGTTCCTGTCTGATTCAGCCCTGTAGAAGATTATCTCAGTTGTTAACAGTTTTACTGTCCAACAGTCTGTGTGCAGAATTTACATTTGTATATTTTTTTTTTTTAGGAGTGCTAAGTGAGCTTTTCTTTCTTCTGTGTTTGTTGGCATGGTGGCAAAGGTTTTCTGTCATTTTAAGTTACTGGCAGTATAAAGATTTGGGTGGAAAAGGTAGGCAGATACAGGAATAGCTTCAAGTCAGTACCTTTGATTCTGGCCACAGAATGTGACTTGGGGGGGGCTGGGAAGTGTTTCAAACATTTCTGTAAGGATAAACCACTCACTGGATGTTCTGAACAAATCTCAAAGTTGATGTCCTTAACACTGAAAGAAAAAGGCATGTTTTGTCACTAAGGTCCTGGGGCAGAAAGGGCTGTTCTTGCTTTCTTTGCAGGCTTTCAGTGGAGTGTTGGGAATTTGGAACAAGGTCCTCAACAAAAGGTACTTGCTGAAGAGAGATCCAGTCAAAGCTTAAACATAAGCTGGAGGACACTTTTCCAGAGATTGAAAAGTTCCTGGAGGCCTACATTTTCATTAGAATGTCTCCCTAAATGTCTGGGTGTACATTTCTTCAGATTGGTCTGAGCTTAAACCTCAGTCTTACTCAAACC